AATTAAAGGTTTGGAGAGAAGAAAGACACTCTGGTGCTTGGAAACGAATGTTCTCAAAAAAGATTTGACTATTATCATGTCTTATTAAAATGTTTCTCGGTAATGAAGCTACTTGTTTCCAGCAGGCAGTGATGGAAAATCCCACCTGAGGAGCACTGCTGACTGCAGGAGTGCTCCACTAAATTTGGAGAGGAGCACCAGGAGGGATGAGGAAGGTATCCTGAAGATATTATGAAGCTGTTGCTTATCACCTCGTAGGTAATAATGGTTATTTTTCTACAAAGGCCTTTGTCTGTTAGAGTTAGAATTACTAAATTCAGAAGATGATTTACTCAAGTATGACCCAGAAACCAAGTGTGGATTTAGCCCTAAGTATCTTACAATTTTTTTCAATGAATTTGAAAAAAATAATAATAATAATAATAATAATAATAATAATAATAATAATAATAATAATAAACACACTAACAAACAAACCAAAAACCAACCAAACAAAATACAATAGTAGATGAAGGCAGAAAAGATGCTATATAGAACAGTAAAAGTTGCTTTAAATCTCAGACAAATTAATATGGGATACAACACACCTCCTAATAAAAATAAATAAATATATAAAAATGACTCAACCATTGTCTATTGACATTGAAGTGAGATTTTCCAGAACCATCAACTTCTGGATGAAATTCATCCTATAGAGTTGATAAAGCCAATCCTCTTTTTCAAGATTACCATTAACAATTGCAGCTACTTCAATTCTGCTTCAATCCAGGTCTCATTTGATTTATGTGTTCACGGAATGAGGCCAAATCCTTGTGGACGAGGGCTCACAGGGAATAAGCAATACAATGAGCCATCTGTATGAACACTGTCTCAAATGTGACAGAGCAGGATTGTAAAATTAAATGCACATTTAGATTTGCCAATATCCTTGCTAACTGATTTGTTATATACTTACAGGTATACTTTAGTGTTATCTCTTTCTTAAATTTTCTTAAATTTTCTTAAATCCCTGGTTTCTTAACCATATGAACATAATAGATGTCAGTATTGTTCAGTGAATGGGGAAAAATACAGAAAATAAAGTTATTTCCTTAAAGGAAGGCAGAGAAGGCTATTTAAAAATGACTGCTTGTATTTAAACCTTGAAGTTTGGGGATCTTTCTAGCTTCATGGCTTTTAAGTGCAATTTAATGAAGCACATTGTTTTTGATAATACGTTATATAAAATATGGTCAATGGCTCAACAGATTCATTTTTTGGGATCCAGAAATGGATCCAGAAATCCATATTTAAGGGAGTTTGTACATTATTACATGCAGATGCTCACATTGTTCAGCCTGTCTTTTGAGTACTGTCAGGTCATACAGAGAGTACGTAATGTTCAAGCAGCATGCACTTGTTTTGCTGTACTGCTTTCTGACCTGCTCTAATGAAACTCCAACAAGGCCTCACAGGCCTAGTTAGACACAGTTAAAATGAAAGCACTGTTTGTAAAGCCATGGACTAGAGTCCAGAAACCTCAACTTAGAGAAAGCTTTGAAGAACTGTCCTATTAAAGGTCCTTTTTCTCTATATCCTTGCAAATGTGATATATACGCTTTTGTTAATCTTAGTAAGTAATAAATTAAATTAAAACTTGTATGGGCTACACAAAACTTTGTTATCAAATTTCCAAGCAAGTTACCTGGCTCACATTATTATGGTGATTTAATTTGCACTCCATTTTCAGCCAGAAACAACTCAATAAAGCTTAAAACTTAATAAAACTAATATATCTTTAATCTCTTTTAGAAATACAAGTATGCTCATTATCATCTTTCCAGGTAGTATGACAACTTCTGTTTGTCAACATGACTACAGGGCAGTTCACTTTTTAAATTAAATTCCTTGGGTCCAAATTTCAGCATCTCTTTGGAGTCAGTAATTCAGAGCTGGCTGGATGTAACCACACTTTGTTCAAAGCTTTTGAGGGAAAAGGCAGAATAACACAAGCAAGACGTACTAAGTGCCCCTGCTTAGGAAAGTCTCAGTGGATTAGATCTTGTAGTATTTATTACATGTTGCTCAACTGAAGAGACTGTCAGGGTTTTTTGAATTAACTAATTATCCTCATAAGGACCTTTAATTCCCCAGTCAGTGGAAAGAAGCATGTACTTAAGTTACTTGGATAATTTCCCTCTCTGCTGTTTTTTGAAGCTGCCGCCTTCTCTTCAGTGACATAGTCCACTCAAACTCTACAGACTGCAAGCAGGCTGTACAACACAGGGATATATGCAAAATGATCATGTTTAGCATTGGATTTTATTTTTTTTTAGGTAATTAAAAGAGGAAATTCAAAGGATTGAGACATACTTGTAAATGGAATTCATTTATTATTTCAGCTCAACCATGACACCTACAACTTTGTGCTATTCCTTAGAATATTTTTAAAACTATTACATATTAGTATTGTGGGACATATTAGTATTAGTATGCCAGAGTGGAGCTGGGGGAGGTGGTGTAGAAGAAGATAAGTTTGAAAGCAGATGTTTGAGAAAGCCTGGATTTAATCAGAAAGCTAGAGATTATCATTCCTAGTTAAAAATCTGTTTCTTCAAAAGCTATATTTCTAAAATGTTCAGAAATTCATGACTTGCCATTGCATCAAGAGTAGTCTTACTAAGATCTGGTTCCATAAGATATTCTGGTTTTGGATAAAACAATATTTTGGGGTTGAATCTTGTCATGAAAACCTCTTATGTCTATTCTCTGGTTCCTTGAAACAGAACCATTTAAGTCAGCAGGGTTTCATCAGTGAAGCTTGGAATAGAATTTGCTCATTAGAATGGTTTAAGCATTTGCTCACTGCCAGAGTGCTGCCCTAATTCACTTTTCTGAATAAACTTTAATCTTAGCACTCAAAATCAATTTAATACCATGAACAAATTAAATTATTTCAATAGCAATGTTGAGAAACAGAAAGGACTAAGTAATTGCAGATGAAATATAACTAAGTACTGATGTTATTTATTTTTGAAACTTCCAAATGTGCACTAAGTGTTTATAATAGGGCATATGGGCTCTTTATGCCCGTGGGGATTGGCAAGCTCTGCTTTAGTTGAACACCAGTGGTGGGAGTCAGATAAAGAGCACCATTTTGAGCTGAAGAACGGCATGCGACCCATTCCACAGAAAGAAGCAGTCTTTCTTGAGCCATTTTTATGACTGCCTAAAAGAAGAAATGGAATTTGTGGGCTTACCTAGTGAAGTGAGCTTTCTCTGACACCAGAAGTAGCTGAAAAGTTGTTTCAACAGTTGATTTGGAAGGAAGATGAAAGCTTTATTTGATTATACAGATTGCCCTATTCATTCTACTTTAAATGAAACCGGTCTGGGAGAGAACCAAGTGAAGTGGTTAGAGCCGCATGAAAGAAGGTGCATGAAAGAAGGTGAGATAAGGTTACTGTGTTCAATGGAAAAGACTACTCTTGAGAATGAAGGTAGGAACTAAAAAAGATGTGATAAAAGACATGACAAGCAGCACTGAAGAAAGGCAGAGGTTACAGCAATGTGACCGGGCAGTGACTTCTAAAACACACTCAAAGTCTAACAACTGAACTTGCTCTGCAGGAACAGAGGTGCTCTCACACTCAGCCTCGCCAGTGGTTAACCTAATTCATATTCAGATGGAACTTGCTTTACCTGATCTGGGTTTTGCAACAGATAGAGCAGGTGGCAAAAATTCCTTGGTGTGTTATGGCTGTATGTACTACAGAATAGAACCGGAGATTAATCATGACGTTGAAGCAATGCCTAGAAGGCATCAGGTCATTTATCTGATGGTCCGTGCTTGCCATCTAGTGGTACAAAGCCAAAACTTGTGTTCTGTTCCGTGAGAGCTAGCTGAAACCTGCCAGGGAAGCATGCCTGTCCCCTTCCAGCTGGCAGTGACAGCGGCGGCCCAAAGTGAAACAGGTCTCTGAGGGGCTGGGAGAGAAAGGTGGCATCCCCTGATCACAGGATCAAAGAATAATCAAGGTTGGAAAAGACCTCCAAGATCATCTGGTCCAACTGTCCCCCTACCACCAGTATCACACACTAAACCATGTCCCTAAGCACCAGGTCCTCGAACTCCCCCAGGAACAGTGACACCACAACCTCCCTGGGCAACCCACTCCAATGCCTGGCTACTCTTTCTGAGAAGTAATGTCTCCTAATTTCCAACCTAAACCTCCCCTGGAGCAACTTGAGGCCATTCCCTTCAGTCCCAGCACTGGTTATCTGCAAGAAGAGGCCAACCCCCAGCTTGACACAACTTCCTTCAGGCCTCCCCTGAGCCTCCTCAAGACTAAACAAGCCCAATTCCCTCAGCTGCTCCTCACAGGACTTGTGCTCCAGGCCCTTCGCTAGAGCACCAGTAGTTGCCTATGGCAGAGCTGTTGCTTCCATTTTAGTGCTCTGGCCGTAGCTGCAGCCTGTCCATCTTAACAGACTGTTTTCTAAGAGTATTCAGACACCCACCTTTTTACTGCTTTCTGTGAGAATTCAGGCAACTAAGAGTCCTAAGGATTTGAGCTTATGTTTTGACAGCTTGTAAACCAGGCTTGTAAAATCCTCAGCCTTGCAATTTCTAGAGGCATCAGCTATGACTACAGCATCCCTGTGTGAGTACACACAATTACTTTCCATCCAGAAGACTGAAGCACAATGAAATTAGCAGCCCATTAAAACAAAAACATACAGGGGATAGATACCATTGTTGCAACAGAACACATGTACTTGAAACTAAGCTACAAGATGAGTTTTTCACTTTTAAAACATATCAAGGATATGTGAATAAAGAGCTTTGTAAAAGAATTAACTTTATTTTGGAGTTATGTCATTTAGTAAATACAAGAGAGGTTCATCAATAGAAATATTTTTTAAGAAGTTATATACAGCATGATGTTTAACATACATGCTATTTACTGGGATTTCATGCCATATAGTTAAGAAATTAATAACTATATATATTGGTTTTCTATTGCTTTTCAGAAAGATTAATGTAATTCCCACATCCCAACTAAATAGCACATGTTTTTGTGTTTTTACTATAAAAATGCAGCTAGGAATTAAGAGTTTTCAGAGTCTGTGATTCAGAAGCATCACTCAGTTTAGCAGTCCTTGGGATTTTCCCTCTTAAGTCACACAGAATTTTTTTAACCACTTTCACAGGCCATGATGAATGAAAATAAAGCAATACCAATTATTTAGAGGACAAATCTCAGATGACCTAAACAAATATTAATGAGATTTAATTAACTTTACTATGTAGAGTTGACACTAATATGAATTTGAAAAGTCTACCTTGGCAGTAATAATACATATATAACGAAATTCATGGAGGGAAAATAAAAAATATTACTTGCTCTTAGCTATGGTCCCTTCTTTTAGAAATATGTATTGAATCTTCTATTAATTGAGCAGCTGTGGCTATGTTCAGTCACTCATCCACTCATTCATCTCTTATTTGTTTAATTAATTATTCAATCAATTGTTCACTGAGGGACTGTATACGACCTATGTTTTGCAATTGACTTCAAAGAGTGAGGCAGCTGAATGCATCCGATAGAAAATAGAAAAAGGCATTGCAAGGTTCACAACAATTATCCAAGGTTCAAAGCCAAAGACTATTTCTTCCAGTCCATTGTCATACTCTGGGCGGCACCCAAATGCCGGTGGTATCCAAAGCTGCAAGGAAAGAAGGCAATGCCAGTATTAATCATAAATTACAAGTGACTGTGACCCCAGTGACCTGCAATTTAGTTTTGGCAATCTCTAAGTAAGCCCTCCCTGTTGTTACCCGGGTACACCAATGGCAGAAGATTTCAGCTTCTGCTGCTGATACAGTTTTTCATGGTGATTAAAAAGAGTTTAGACTCTTGGATTCCATGTTTAGATAAATTTTGTTCCCCAAAGGCATATTCACTTATTCTTCCAGAAGAAGTAAAAATTACTTGCTACAAACTATGGAACCATGTAATTTTAATATGAGGCTTGAAGGGTTGGGAAGCATTTGTGTATTAACTTGCAAATTATGTTCAAAATGTCTTACCGAAAGATTGCATAGGAATAAAAAAGCAGCAATGTTCTTGAGAATTCTCCTCTTGTTGTCAGCCACTGAGCTTCTGCTATAGAAGGAGAACTCTGAGGCTGAATGCATGACTGGACTGTTACCCTGATTTGTCTCTTCGTTGGCACTGCCACTGCCGTCACTTTCTCTGGCGCAGATGCTGCTGCTAACCAGGCACGGTAACTCCCCGATGTCACAGGTGGCTCGGCCGTTGTAAATCTCCTTGTATGAGGGGGTAAGTGATAAAGTGCTCCCCCGAGATATAGTCACTATTCGAAGTGTTTTAATATCATCATTGGCCTTTTCCTGCTCACGGTGTATGGATTCAATGATAAAGAGGTTCTGAATGTATTTCTCAATAATTACAAGGACAGAATAGGGGAGGTTATACCACGTGTATTTGGGGTGAGCTTGGGCACAGATAATTGCTAGGATTGACCCCCAGGAGAGGAGCCAGGATCCTGCAGCTGTGCCAACCAGCAATTCTGCATCCAGTTTTCGAGCAGGATTTTTTGAGTTATCCAATGATCTATCCTCCAGTCTGTAGATTAGAAGGGCAACAACTCCAGCTGTACACATGAGAGCCAATACAAAGATAGCATGGAGGTAAAACATAGTAAGTGCTAACTCACTTTTGACTTTTGAACGTCCAATCTGAATTAAATACACCACGACTACTGCTATTGTGCTAGTTAACACAATTAGTCCAAAAATCATCCCAACAGTTATGCCATGGAATTTGAATGGAGTTTTGTGTTGCTGGTGGTGTTCTACTTTGCGACCAATGTTTTTCCACAGGACATAGAGCATTGTGGATGCTAGAATGTGGTACTCTATATTGAAGGGATATAGGTAATATATTCCTTGAGAAAATATGGAACAGAGAGTTGTCGTTGTACAATTGCATTGAGGTGCATGGTCATCTAAAACTAAAGGAAAGGGAGAGATTACATATGTGCATTATAAGGATTTTTTGTTTAAAGCAAATAAATAAAACATAAATAAATCAATAAAACATAAAAGGTAAGATTTCAGCCAAACAACATATCATACTCTCCAGTTAGCCACCTAAAAAGGACCTGTGTCATTTAAATCATTAACCTAACACAGATTTTGCCTGGTCTACAAAGCATAATCTCTAACTCCACTGCTCAGCTGCGTAGCAATTGTCACATCATAAGTGAATGCTGCACCAAAGTGCAACAGAGCCTTTCAAATACTACTTTTTTATTATACAAATGTCCAAAATCTCAAGGACTTCAGTCCTTGGCCATTTGGCTTAGGTAGATTTTATAGAATATTGAGGAACTCCATCTGTGAGTCAGATGAAAAATACAAACTTAATGAGAAAATGACTCCTCTCATTTTTGTTAGTAATTTACACTAGAGTGGTTTCTAATAATCACAGCACCTTATTAAAAATGTGTTTATGTATACAAAAGAGGTGAAGTAAGCCACAGATACTTTCACTCAATGTCCCAGTATAGGTTGAAAGTAAAATAATTAAAAATCTATCTTGTCCTTTTGAGAAGAACCTATTAAATCATTATCCCTCTATGCAATAACCTGCATTGTAAACCCCTAAAACATCTCAGAGAACAAATTGCACATATATGTAAAATATGTATTTAATGTGTAATCACAAACAAATAATTTAAGAAACCAGAAAATTCCATGGTGTCAGAAGATAATTATTTACTTACACTTATATAAACAGAAATGCTTAAAAATATATTTTTAGGCATTCCAGAGGCTAATCTTAGATTTGTGCCTGTAAGTTTCTTTTTAATTTTGTTGTTTAAATATATATATATATATATATAAGAAAAAGATGGGAGAAAGCTGGTATTCTTTTGTCTTAAGCATATACGCATAAGAAGTGAAAAAACACTTTTGCAGTGGATTATATGTTAATAGCAAATTTGTCTTGTGAATCACTACTTTGCTCCTTGTTATAGAAACTATTTTTGATTATTCACATTTGTGCAACAATTCTGGCAGCAGATTAATAGGAAATAATATAAGGAAACTGTTTCCATTTAACAGTGGAAATATCAGGAAGAGACACTAACTTGTGATTAATATCGATGCTTTTACTGTACAGCTAAATCAGAGAATTGCAGAGTGGCTGAGGCTGGCAGGGACCTCTGGAGGCCCACTGCTCCAACCCCTGCCCCAGCAGGCTGCCCAGGACCACATCCAGGTGCCTTTTGAAGATCTCCAAGGAGACTCCATAACCTCTCTGAGCAACCTGTGCCAGAGCTCTGTCACTTGCACAGCACAGAAGCACTTCCTGATGTTGAGAGGGAACCTCCCACGTTCCAGTTTGTGCCCATTGCTTCTTGTCCTGGCACTGGGCAATGCTGAAAAGAGCCTGGCTCCATCCCCTTGCAAATGCATGTAAAACTGGGGTCATCTTTGTCTTTATCCTTGTGAACACAACCAAAATCCTATCAGGTGGGATAAAATTACCTGTAGCTGCTGAGAACTTACATTGCCCATTGAAAGCCAAGCACTCCAAATTTCCCTAGGCTTCAGTGGCATTTGAAAGCAAAAGACATCCCCAGCAGTTTTAGTCAATGTGTGTTGAAACTTGCATTATCTTACCAGTGAAGAAGAGTGTTTGTTATATATAAAATAAATAAATAAATAAATAAATAAATGAATAAGAACCACCCAGCTAAAAGTCTGTGTCCTGTAAAGCAGCTTTAATGGATAACCTTCATCTCTCTGAGACATTCCACCAAATTCCATGGCACCACACAAAATTCCATAGGACCACACACCCTGGGAAACCACTATATGGGAAATGATTTGCAGGATTATCCATTCTTGTTTTTCTACCAGTAGCTTATAAAACTAGTAAATTGTGTTTTAAAAAATACTGTTTATACTTTACTTCTCTGATTTACTAATAAAATGATTCTTTAGTGATGTTATTCCTCAAAAGAATTATCTTTGTTTGGAACTTCTGGCATTTATTTTTATTCTGGACCTCATCCAAAGGGGAGATAAATAAGCAGAAAATCACAGCCTGAGTCATGTATATGATAATGATTATACATCATTTTAGTTACTATATGAACTGACCATATATCAGTTGACTACCATTTCCCTAGTAACAACTATACAGCAAATACCCAGATTGGTCCTACAGAGACATAGTATTTTGCATGGGAGCAGTAATTCCAAAATGTACCAACGCTTTAGCTTACCTATTGTTATGTTCCCAAAACCAAGTGTGATTAGTCTTTCTTTATGTTCATTCAGTTGATGTTTTGACTCTGTTAACACTCCATTTGTCCACAGGAGTAAATTTGTGAACACAGAATGGATAACCCCAAACCTACAAAATAAGGTAATTATTGAAGGAATATGCACACAGTATTTCTCTACACACATGTTAAATACAGTGCATTAATTTTCTGTAGACACCACATGTAACACTATTTAGTTGTCAGTATAAGAAAAAAAAAAATCATAACTGATCTCTCTAAAGATGTTCCACAGTGGAGCACAATGAATGTTAGACTTCCAAACTATCACAGAAACACAATGGATTAATGTATTAAATCATAGATAGGATGCTTTTATGCTCTTGTATGTGATGTTTATTATTCCTTGGTCTGCAGATGTTAATGACAGTGACTGAATGGCCTTATCAGGGTGGTTTTGCAAGTTTCATTTCTCAGCCTTCTGCAGTGCTTCTTCATACTCACTGTGGATGGTCTTTCTTCAAAGAAATAGCACTTGTCTAACTTCTAGTCCATGCATTTTTGTCTCCTGGAGAGAGCTGAAGACAACAGAGGCCTTTATCCCATTCAGACTATTGGTACAGTGAGGCTAAGTCTCCAAGTGGCTTTAAGAGTCTTTGTATTGGACAAGCCCTTTCATGGCTTGGTGAAACAAAATGGCATCAGAGAAAGAGGTGGGTTAATGATTCTGAACTTTCTAGTAAAACCCAGACAATAATTGTTCTCAATTGACCAGCACTTCCCTCCATATCTTCCCACCCCACCCCACCCCACCCCCTTTTTTTTTAATAGATGGCCATGGTATCTATTTCTTGGGCGCAATCCTTCCATCTGACATTCTGCCAGGCATTATTCTCTTGCACCCAAGGCTGAAAATGTTCCTTCACCAAGAAACAGTTCTTTATTACTGCACTGTTTGCAGTGGATGACTTGAATGACTTGCAATTAGGTACTTTAAAAATGGTACTTATCAACAGAGCTTGTTTCACCAGCTGACATTGCAAGCCTTCCATGATCATTCCACTTGTTGGCATGAGGCTGAAATGCTTACCCAAGGGAGTAGAACAAAAGTAGAGCCACCACTGCGGCTGAAGTTTACGAGTAAGTTTCTGTTACTTCCTATAGAAACTGGCCAGCTTCTTGATAATTTGAGATTAATGTTTTAAAAGTTAATATCCTTGTTTATTTGCATTCTATGTAAAGGCATTAATATAGAATCATAGAATCATAGAATATCCTGAGTTGGAAGGGACCCTTAAGGATCATATACTAATCCACATTCTTACAGAAACGAAAATACATCAGAGCTGGCTTTGCTGCCTCAAAGACCAGTCCTTAGCTCCATAACAAATAAATGTATTCATCTGTTTCAGAAGAGACATCAGTTACACCATGAAAACCAAGTTCTGGTGTCAGAAATAAGAACAACCCTGACTGATTTGGGTGTATATATACTGCTGGAAAGGTTGTGTTTCTCTGTGTATTTGATGTTTTTGATGTTTGCATCTAGTTCTGAAAGGTAATTTCCATAAAGGTCAATACAAAAACCCCAGATATACTGGACTGGCTGCAGGTTGCTGATGCAAGTTCCCTTCCAGTATCTTCAGTACGAAGATACTGAAACCTTTCAATTTCTTCAGTACAAAGAAAACTTCACATAGTACATAGTTCTCAGACAAAAATCTGGCGCTTCCTTCCTCTGAAAAATGCATGTGACACTGTAGTGTCATACATTGCCCTTTCCATCTCTCATGTTAAATGCATACTTATTCTGTGACTATTGTATTTTATGAAATACGAGCACAGTTTAAATAAAAAAAAGAATAATTCAAACTAATGATTATCGTCTTTGGACTCGATGATCTTGAGGTCTCTTCCAACCTAGAAATTCTGTGATTCTGTGATTCTGTGTGATTCTGTCTCAGTTGGGTGAATGGAGTTACTGTCTATTTATATTAACACAACTGAGAATTAAACTCTGCACTTTCTCGATGTCCATCATACAGTACAACTGTAGGTGTTCAAACACAGTGCAGACATGCACCTATTTGCATTCCAGATGAGGATCAGATACTTTACCTTTCAAGTGTTTTGAAAGACTGGATAATATCCTTTGCATGACACCAAAGAAAGTACACCTAAGTTAAAGGAATACAGAGAAATGTCATTACACTAATGAATATGTATGAAACACAAAAAGGAAAGTATATCTGTAGGCAGAAACACTGATTAGATCCTCTGATGATTTAAACTGAGGTAGCTCCATCTCCATGCATGTGAAATTATTCTTATCTCTTCCAACATTCAGCCAGAACCTGGCTGGCAGGAACCTAGGATTTCTTATATGCAAAGCCAGTGGCTCAATAGTAGAAAGTTTCAATATGACTCACCAAAACATATCATGCTTCTGTATCTGCAGAGGCTTTTATTTCAATGGCAAAGGAAATAAAACTGCCAGCTGTAGACAGCACTATAACTACTGCAGGGCGTGGTGATGCTAAGTTTGAACAATTTACTAAAAATATGAAATTCTATGGAGGGAGAGAGACACGTGAAAGGATTCCAGATTTGATTAATAAAACAAACAATGGATGGCCAGGAAGCAAGAGAAAAGGTCATTCTATCAGTTTGAGGGGTAACCGCATTAGGAAGAACAAATGCAGTTGCACTCAAATGTAGTGCAGAAAGCTCGAGCTGGAAAACAGAAGAGACAGAACAGTACTGACTTAGCAAGTAAAGGGGAAAGAAGTATTAAAAGCAGGAGTCTCTTTGTGGGAGGATAATGGAAACTTCAGGGTATAGATTGTTGCTAATATAAAACATGTTCCAAATCCTGGTAGGTGTGAGCCATATTCCTCGGGGATGTTAGGGTCAAACTGGAACTTCTATTTTTTCAGAAAAGTTCCTACCTTACTGAACTGAATAGTATGTAAACATCGGGATAGAAATGGTCCAAAGGGTTTGTCTTAGAAACCTGCCGGGTGTGGTATTTCTGAAGTGGTCTGAAAATTGCAAAGAACTTTGTGTTCTTCTGCAGCAATTGCAGTGACTGGAAGTCCATTTTCCCACTGCGCCCATTAACAGGGTGCCTCCACAGCTGGTGTTGTCTGAGACATTCAGTACCTGGTCTTTGAAAAAGCTAGGAACGTGCACTTCTCTGTGGCACCTACTAGAATTTCAGGACACGCTTCTGGACTTGAGCTCATTCAGCTAGTGCAAAGCCAGGAATCCATCCCCCTGCTCTCCCTACTAATAACACGTTAATTCAATCACCCAGTGAAGCATTTATCACAACAAATTGTGATAAATACAAAAATACAAGATGTCATGGAAGTTTAAATTGAAGTCACTAATTAGCACCATAGCCTCATCTATGCTATGTTCAGATGGCAGTTCTGAGAGAGAGGCAGTAAAATCTGACAACAGATGTGAAAGCATTCTTCAAAACTTAAGAAAAGGAAGTTTAGAAGTTCTGTTCAAATACTAAAGTCAAGAAAGTCAAGGGAAAATAGGAATAGAAAAATCAGTAAGGTAGAGAAATGACAGAAAATAGTTTTTGCTCCCAGAGCACGCATTGTCTCAAAGGGACTTCTGTCTGCAAAAGAGCTTAACACAGAGGCAGTGGAAATCAGAAGGTCGGTGCTAGTTCATTGTTTGCACAGTTACAGTGTATATTTGCTCATTTATTGGCAAGTACCAGGATGCCTCGTTAGAGTGAAATACAACAGCATCTAACACATGTTCTGTAGAAAAAAAAAGTCCTCAGGTTTTTAGATGACACATCATTAGGGATCCCCTCCACTGTAATTTTATCCTGTGTTTCAAGGACATTATATTTGTCTTAGGCAAAATGTATTTGATAAATTACATCCTTTGCCTTTCCTTTGAGTGTTCACACTAACACTCAAGATTTCATTTTAAGCTAAGTAAATGATAAAATCAGCTATATTAGTGATGCAATATGATGTGGTGTAATATCAAATCAGAATGATGCAATATTAAATCAATATTAAATTAAGTATTAAACATTAAAGAATGATGTGATATTAAATGAGAATGTCACTTCTCAGGAAATCGGTATTTCCTTTTGTTCAGCTCAAAGTCTCTTCCACATTCTAGTTCACAGTAGCTAGAAATCTCACCAACTCAAGGTTACTGGATGCAATGAGGAATGCTGCAAGCAGATCAGCAGGAAAGGATTTCTTAGGTTTGTTTGTCAGAGGTAAAGCAAATAAGTTTTTCCACATGGAGAGTGGATTTTAAAAGAATGTAAAATTATGACTACTTCCATCAAGTCAGAATTTCATCCTCAGATAAAAAGATGGAAGTCAAAGTTACTGCTCAAATTTCAATGTTTTTACTGTTAAAGAAAACAGAAAAATGTAGGTGGTTCAACTGTTCATTTACTTGCAACCATTGCTAGGAAAATAATTCTTTTCTCTTCTATTCTTGCTCTTATCATTGTGTTACTTAATCATCTTGGAAAGTGCATGAGATGACCTGCCTCTAATGGAATATTTTATTCTAGTGGCTTTTCCTTTCCCTCTTTACCACAAGTCTCCTCATAGGGACCCACAGGAATTACAGTTTTAGATTATCCTGACAAGAAGGAGGACAATAATCTGAATCTCCACCTTACCATAAGATGTATCTGGCTCTTGCAGCTACCAACAATTCTCACTATCTCTGTCTTCACAGACTGGCTAACAACCTGCGACAGAAGAACTGGAAGCTGTTCATGATTCAGGTATTCAAAATAAGGAAAACTATTAGGAAAACTGGCCAGTATCCTTTTGCTCCATCATGTAATAAAAGAAAGGGCAACATTTATTCATGCAGTAAACAATCAGCTATGGAATATCACCGTATAATACAGAGGCAAAGCCTGAAAATAAACAAACAGCTGAAATATTTTACAGGAGTCATTAACTATGCTTGCTAGTGTGCAGCCACTGGTAAGTGTAATCAAATGCTTCTGGAAGGAAAATCTGCGCTCATTTTTTACAGGAAAGATGTGCAAGCATCTTATAACCTACAAAGAAAGGGGGGTTGTCCATTTGAAGTATCGGGCATCCACTGCTAACTATTCTGAGATATCAAGACAGACAGGTTGAACTGAACTTGGGTGGCAAGTTGTACATACAGAAATAAGTGAAATAGAATAAAAAAGAATAAAGTTTTATAGGTAACTTAAACTAAAGAGCATGCAATTTCAACTATTGACAGCATTTTTGATTAGTTCTTTTTAGAACATTTTTTTTTTGGGGGGGGGGGGAAAGGAGGAAGGGGTATTATGGCAAGCAATTACTGAAATTTCAGGTTGCCAAGGCTGAATTTGCACATAAAAGGGTATACATGCACAAGAACTTAGCCCTCAAAATCATCCTGTGATATGTTAAGAAATTAGGTTAGTATAAAATCCATGATGATGAGAAGAAAAAAAAAGATATTTTTTATCAGAAGTATAGATATAATTTAAAACTGCAACCAGTGTCTTTTACCTGTAAGATGGTGTGCGCCGCATGTGTAACAGGAAAAATGCCTTCAGTTGGTGACAAACAGTTTGAAAAATCAATATAGTATCCAACTTTAAAAGAATCCAGAATTAAAGTAATCACTGCAAATAAAGTAATCCCACCTACAAATGAAAAGATATTAGAAAACATCAATGTACAGTTGCATTGCCTAGAGACAATCCATAGCACTATGCCAAAATCTTGTTTAGAGAAATAATGATAGATCAATAGTCATATTCTTGCTTAGGGAGATAAAAGTAGATCGAGTTCATGAAGATAACTGACTTGATGAAATAAGACTCTCTAATTTGTGAAAGCCTCTGCCCAACGTACTAAAGCACATTAGGACACACTCCCAGCATAGGCAGTACAGAGGAGCCCAGACCTGAAGACACGCAGCCCCTTGCATATGGCTCCCAGCTCCTTGCAAGATCATCCTCCCAGGTAACTGTAGCACCAAAGCAGCCATACAGCACATGAATTAATGCTCCATACGGTCACACAGCAAACTATACAACTCAAGGGAGCTGAACAATAATGTTACAGTCTCCGGGCCCAAGAGCTCTACAGTGGGCAGTAACACAATCACTTGGTATGCCAGCGCCATTGTTGGGAAGGTTACACGTCAAGTCAGAGAACAGAACTGCAGTGAGCTGTCTGGTTTGGTTTCCTAGAAAACAACCAAACGATGAAAACTTACCTTAGTACGATATACTAATCCTAAATACTCGATATATACCAGTAATTAAAAACGATGAAGATGATTCCATCATTTTGTTATTTCTAAAGTTAAAGAATAAAAAGAAATGTTTTTACTGAGCATTATACTATTTTTTAAAAATGTGGATTTTTTTTTTCTCCAAATATTCATTGAAATCTCTGTGTTTTAGGAGATCCAGAATAGGATTTTCAGTATTGCAAAGTGGTGGCATAATTCTTCCTATTAGCCATCAAGAAGCAGAAAGCTATAATGATATAGCTGTCAAAACGCCACTCTAAACTTAAAATATTGTTTGGGTTTTGATAATAGACAATTTAATACAAGCAGAAAAAAGATATATGTTGAAGTCTGCCAAGGGCTGTGTAAGGTGACTAGCTGCCTATGCTTTAAACAGAGCCATGCTGCTGGAGAACATAATAAAATAAAGCCATTTGTGAAGCTAATTGATTTTCCCTTTGAGCTCTCTGTCCCACCTGGCTGAACTTCTAAATGATGGCCATAGAGCTTTCCACTGCAGGAGAGTGTACTCTGGGGATAACATCTGGGGTAAGTCAAGGAAAAGAATCTACCCTATATGCAGCCTTCCTAAGCTTCCCTGTGATTATTTGGGTTGCGATAACCTCACCTTACTAAAAAGCTCTTTTCCCACATTCAGACTGTAGGAGTGGTTCTTGGTCTGCCACACAAGCTGGAAGAGAACCATGCTTTAGGGTTCATGTAGTTCACATCTTGGTACTAAAAGGATCCAGGAAAGCTTTCTGTGAGCAGTTTTTGTAAAGTGGCCATTAGTCCTTCCAGCTTTGTTAGCTGTGTGCAATGACTCTGCCTTAAGAGGTCTTTGTTAAGCTATTCTTTTCCAACATTTCCCATAGCAAGGAGCTGTAAGTAGCCAGCTGCCACAACTTTTACTAAAATTATATTCACAATTTGAAAGGCATCATGAAAATACTCTGAGCCTACATTTACATTTCATACCAGTTAATTCATGGCTATTTTCTTCAATGATGAGAGCAAGGAGACATTCTTCAAAAGCAGCTGCTCAAGTTACTCAAGAATTGCCAAGAGCTTTCTGTGGAATAACGTGATGAAAATTTGTCCTTTCCCCTTTTTTTTGGGCTTGTCTTCCAGACACAAGATTTCTGTGACAAAACCACTGAGACAGAGGAGGGCAAGAGGGTTCTTGGCAGAGGAATTGCCACCCGAGTTTTTCCATAGTTCAAATAAGTTTTCTCTTAACAATACAGGATAAAGGAGTTTTACAGAACGGTTGTAACTACAAGAAACTCTTCAGAATGGGAAAATGTAGGACTTTCCCTAAGGGCGAATTTGCTGAATTGCAGCATAGACATCCAAGAGAAGCTGTGGAAGCCGCCACAGCTGAGAACATATTACAAAGAGCAATCCTGTGCTGGTAAAAGAAATGGATAAGGTAACCTAGTAGTGCATTCCAGTATCTTATTTCTAAATGTCTGTGACTCCTTATATTCTGTAGGACAAATGAAATGCTGTGATTGCTGTGCCAAAAGAGGAAAGGGCAGGGGGTTCTGCTGTTCTTAACCATGTTAAGCAGTACTTATTCCACACTTGAGAGGAGAAAGCTACTCTCTGTAAGAAAAACATAGCCTGGTCCAAAATAGGGTCAAATTAAACCCTGCGATAATGAATTTCAGGAAATTTCACAGGAAAAGAACAAGAAAATGTAAGCCACGCTAAGGTAATAAATGAAAAATGCCTGAGAGATGAGGATTATTTTGGAAAACAGTGCATAATCGAGGAGAAAACAGTTGGTACATAACACCATACATTTCAGGAGAGAGTCTACAATACATGGTTGTATTATGTTAGACATAAAAAAAAATAACAAATTTTAAAATGCCACTGAGCTATTTTATAGCGTAATTGTTAACAGTGCAAAGAAAAATAAAAGACACAAAAACACGCAGGCACTGAGAACAAACCAAACTTCCACAACACAACCTTACTTCTCAAACTAACCAGATTTTGGATTTAGATTACTTTTTCATTAGCTGCTGCTGCAGTGACTGATTGCTGCATCTTCGCTATTGGGAAGGAAATATTTTATGGAAAAGCTGCCTTATAGCACTCAACGTACTTACTTTCCAACCTACTATTTATAGTACCGAAACTGGAAAAGCGGTCGATAAAAGTGGGCTTGCCTCCTCCTGTACGTAGCGCTGAGCTGAGTTGTTTCCTTTCCCTGGGACCCAGACACACAGCATTCGACATGACTGTGCCGCGATCCCCAACCACCTGCCCTCGATACACCTTTGCATCCTTACTCCAGTAAGTACCCAACCCTGCAAATAAGGGCCATCACACCTTGCCACCAGCCTTGCAAATTTCCTACAAGCTAATGCTACTTTTAGCTTTCTTGCTTTTATATTTTACATGCTACACTATAAGCTGCTCTGGACGAGCACATTATCATCTTCTAACTCTAGATGCTTCCAATGTTTTAATGGTTGAATTTGGTGATCTTGAAGGTTTTTTTTCCAACCTATGTGATTCAGTAGTTGTAAGGCATCACTGTACAGGTACAAATGGGAATCTCTGAAATACTTTGCTTTAGAGAACCTCAAGGACCTTTTGGACTGGTGCTAGTATAAGAAAGTTGCATTGCATTGCCTGGAAAAGGTGATAATTCCTCCAAGAGAGCTGCACAACACCTTAATAATTGCCTTTTCCAAAATCTGTCTTTTCAAGTGCTGCCACACCTGCCTGGTGCCAGGGGTGAAAGGGGAAAAAGGCCCTGTGGCTTTCAGCATTGCAAACGGGCCAAACGGGTAGTTGGGAAGTGAGTACCTGTAGCAGACAGCTTTCCCATATGGACTCTAAACGTGCTCAGCTTCTGCTCATATTTAGAGTGCACTGCGTGTGCACGGCATCATGAATGTGAGGATGCCTCCTAGTAGGGATGGAGAGGTAACGAGGTAGCAGCAGAGGCAGGTGACAGCATAGATGTCCCATGCCCGGTGCCACCGTGGGTACCGCGGCCAGTACTTACACTTGAGCCAGCGGGCTCCGGCATGCGTGTCCTTGTCGCGGATCAGCCTCCTCTGCGTGCAGCTCCTGCACAGGTACCACAGCATCCACAGCAGCTGGATGAGCATCAGCGTGATGAGGTAGGAGAGCAGGTGGCTCTTGCTGATGCCCACGGCGTGCACCGCCCAGGCGAAGGTGAGCAGCAGCCCGGCCAAGAAGAGGTTGATGCCGTACTGGCTGCTGAGGATCTCGGCGTTTTTCTGCGGGCAGCTCCCGCCGGCGGCGGGGGAACCGCTGCCCTTCTCCATCTCCCGGCCGGGCGCTGCTGGAGCCCCGGGGCCGCCGCAGGCCCGGCCCCCAGCGGAGACCGGGGGCGGAGCGGGGCCGCCGGCTCTCCCCGTGCCTCCCTCCGCTGCGGGGCCGGGGGGGCGCCGAGGTGAGCTCCGTGCAGGGGAAAGCCGAGGAACGACCCTTTTTTCTTTTTCCCCTGACCTTTAGCAAGCCCCGTTCTGAGTACAGAGCATTGCAGTGATTGCTAGGAACCGGTAGCAGGTAGATTGCTAGGACCTCTAGCAACCAGGAGTAGCAGCAACCGAGCTCAACGAAGCAAAAGCTTTCACATAATTTAGCTCATTTCTTATTTATCCATCTTCCCTATTTCTAGACATATTTTTTACCATATATATATGTCAAATACTTAATTCTGTGACCTATATATACAAAATTTTTACTATATATGTGTCAAATACTTATTTCTAACTATGCCCTATAGCCATAAGACATGACTATATTCCAACCTCAAGGTCTGGAGCCCCAGTTGGTTGCCTACGGGGGTTGACAGGAATTCATCCCAGTGTAAACCAGAAAATATTTTAAATGGCGTTTTGGTTGCATACAGCATGAATTTGCTTAATTCCAGGTATTCATGTACCTGGCCATGGTTGGAGGCCAAATACGAAGATAGACTGATAGACTGGTCCTTCTTCTGACCAGGCAGGTCTTACAGTTTCACCCTTAATCTGCTGGTAGCATATCAAATATCCAAAGCATTGTGGTTTTTTTGCTATGTTTTGTTTGTTTGTTTTTGTTTTGTTTTGTTTTAACTGCATGACCTATGTCTCACATGAAATTAAGCCACTAATTCAGCTACTTGGAAAAAAAAAAAAAAAAAAAAAAAAAAAAACGAAGAAATTAAGAGGTGGTATCGATTTTACACTACTTCCACAGACAGAACTTACTGAGGATTTAAGATTTTTCTCTTCTGAAGCTGAAATACAAAAGTAGCAAAAGACATGTCTGGATGTCTGGTAACAGTTAAGTCTTCAGTCACCTCTAGCTCAGAACTAAACCCATCGCTTGTAAAGCTTATGGAAATGCAAAGACCTACTTTAATCTTATAGAATTGTTAGCCTTAAAGAACAGGAAGATGTTCTCATTTAACAGAGCTTCTGTGCATAACTGTGATAAATAATCTCCACCGTCTAGGCTTTTTTATTTTTATTTTAAGGTTATTCTAGAATACCTTTTGTGACCATGAAGAAAAGCTCTTTGGTGCTGGCACAGATTCTCATCCTCAAATGCAATTAATGTAAATAGACACAGAAAATATCTACGGTAGTCTGAAGCCAGCCAACATACTCAAGTAGGGATTTTGACAACCTAGTAATTATTTTCAGGAAACTGTTAAGATATCTTTCTAATCTCTTGCCCTAAATACTTTAATTAGTAGAAGGAAAATAATGAAAGCAAGGAGCTCACACAACTGGAAGCAGCAGCAAGATTTTGTCAGGTTGTTAATTACAGCAAACATTGTTTTACATTCTTACCAGACTCACCCCTACTTGCTTTTGAGCATACAGGGGAATGAGTATTGCATTTGATACCTGTAACTGTTACCAATAGACTCTGCAGGACTTTTGTGAAATAAACTTTATCTACCTGGGATTTTCAGGAAAAGACAAAGTCAGAAGGTAAATAGCTCTTCCAAATCATACTGAATAGTATTACACTGTCAATAAATCCAGCTGAGAGGTCACAAAAGACAAAATGAATTGACAAATTGATGGGCTGACAGTCCCAAGAACAGTGAGGTTAGATGTTTAAATAATTAAGTATTAAACAACGATTGCTCACTTTTATACAAAGTTTATTAAGATGTCCAGAAGAGTAAGTTTGAAGAAACATGTAGCAAATATTATTTCAAGAGTACAGGGTCAATGTAAAGCACCTAGAGCATTTGTACAGTTGATAAATAAAAATACAGTGATAATTACCATCCCTGAGCAAAAGTGCATTTAAATAATAAACAAAATCAGTCAATGTACATCTATGCAGACATAAAATTGTTCAAGTTTGTTAAAAGATGTAGACCTTAAGATAAGCAAATGCAAAGTATCACTTCTAAATGCAAAGTACAACTGTTTTTTGTAAACTCAAATTTTACATTAAAAAAAAGAAAATCAAACTATTGACTTCCTCTACAGGCTACTTAGCAGTAGTGCTGGATGTATTTTACTTTGGTTTGACTGATCCTTTACACTGCCTACTGCCATCAACTTTTTTCTTCAATGGAACTTCAATGGAACTGCAGTAACTTCAGTCAATGCCTTTTTCATTACTGAACGTTTCACATAGTGTGTATTCAGCAATGGTGTGAATCTGAAAGTCAGAATGAACAGCAGTCTCCTCGAACAGTCTGGACTCCAAGCAACAAGAGTAAATTTCAACAAGTTTCAATAACCAGCTTCTATTGTCTCCTATCTTCCAAAAAAGAATTTAACACAATGACCTATATAAAATGGTCTAGCAACTAGATGGTGCCCAGGTTTCTCGATATTTAAGTATCTCAGACAAAGTGAACAAAGGGACAATGTTATTTTCCCAGCTGTGTATGGCTAATGGCATTTGATTTATTAACAACCTCTACTGCTGAGGAAGAAAAATGGCAATTTCATTAATAAGCATTATTATGAACAAAAAGTTAATTTTTTAGAAGAAAAAGATCCTGAACATTGGGAAATAGTATATACAACAAAATAATTAACTTTGTGCTCTTCAGCTCTTGCTTAGTGTTACTATTGTTTGTTCTATTGCTGGTTATTCACAGCTTCATCTCCTGTCTTTGGCTGTGGATAAATTATGTCAGTACAAGGGCAATCTATTTATTTCACTGTTGGCACTAGCAGATTAACAATGATGGAAATTTCAACCAGCTTTCTAGGCCCTTAATCAGATACATATCTTTTTCAAATACTAACAGATCTGAAATCAAGAGGTTAGATTAACAAAATATTTCTTCCGTGATAACACATGTATCATTACAAATTTATGGACCAAGAAGTGTCTCCCATGTTGTAAATGTGTAAGTTTAGAAGTTCAAAGAGATTCCAAATATCAGTATTTTAGCTATCACTTGAAATGTAAAAATAACGTATTAAAAAACCCACAACACTTGAATTTAAATATCAATTGTTTTCAAACTAATCAACCTGCTTTAAGCAGGTTGAGCTAGGTGAAATCTGGAGACCCCAGATAGGATTTAAAACCATATATCTGACCCATTACCCGTCTGCTTAGTATTGAACTGCGAATAAAAGCTTTATAAAACAAGCTACGTCACAAATGAAGTGCTTTATATTACTAAGAGAGATAAAATCTATCTATCTTTCAATTATTCACTTATCAGTCGCTTTTTCGAAGCCACTGGCTGAACAATGGGTTTATGTCCATTTGATTTATACATCGGGTAGTTAAATAATCAAAAGACTGGAATGTAACTTAAAACAACACCCACTTCACAGGGTAACTGTAACTGGAGTCCTTCACAGAAAGCTGAAAGAGAAGAAAAAACAAATCCAACATAAGAAATACTGTAAGGCTATATATACTGCACAAACTGTATCTTGTATAGTTTGATATTCATTAGTTGGATGACTTTGCATCACCAAGTAATAATTTACAGTATAACAGAATTTACTTGGCTGTTCATACAGAAAAAAATGTTTTCTTCACAAAGTTCAGCTGTTCAGAATATTTGCATTTAGCTTGTACTTCTTACTTTCTATCTCCAAGTACAAATTAATGCAGAATGGTTCTCTTAGTCTATTAATATGAGCAAAGCTCTACCAGACCACAGCACATCCTTTCTCCACCCTTCCAGTGCTCAAACAGAAAGTTGCTAATGACAGAAGGAACAGACATGCATTGAGGAATTTTGCACTAGCAGACGTGACTTGAGCTCCCGTAATAAATTAAAAGAGGTTCTGAAATAAGTACCATATTTTTCAGAAGTCCACAGACAGTTAATTAGTTTAGTTAATTAGTTAAGTTAATAAGTTAAGTTAATAAGTTAATTAGTTTAGTTAATAAGTTAATTAGTTCCTTAAAAGAGTTTTCTTGATATTGAGGAATTGGTGAAAAGGTGTATGACTAGTTTCAGTTCACTTATGCAAGTAAAAGCTGTGTATGTGTGGCTGACCCAGCTGTTAAATATTTTTTCCTTACAATTCTGGCACTACAAGAGGCTATACTCAAAATCCAGCACTGTCACATTCCTCTTGCCGCACTCATGAAAATGCTGGGGGACTCCTTTACTGAAACAGATTTGTGACAGCAGGCGAACACAGACTTCCTCACACTCCCTTGTGAGCAAGTACAGCAAACAACCTGCTGAAGGAGTCACTTCACTAGATGATGCAGACGTCAGTGATCAGGGGACATCTCTTACCCTATTACTGAGCTGTATTTAATATCTTCTTTATTAAGCTTTTCGATTTCATGGGATTCATCTGAATAGCATATCCTAACAAAAACGTGAGAACCCCTTTTCAATGTGACCGGTATTGGGAATTAATTTTTCAAGTCAAGAAAATATCTGATTTTGCCTTAAAAAGGTTGCTTTTTAGGAATATCCAAGAAGTGGACTGTTCACCACAGAAAATGAAAGCAGCATACTTAAAGATAACAAAGTATTTTGATTCACAGGGGAGGAGGAAGAAGGAAAGAAAGAGAAGACAGTTGCATATGGACCTTTACAGCTTCTCCCCTTTACTATATGTCAAGCAACTTCCCTAAGAAGAGAAGTCTGGGTAAAAGCTGCAGATACTTGTCCTATACTCCTCAAAGCCATCCACTCTCACTTATCTCTTCTTTTCACTGTCTAAAACTGAATTTTTTGGAAGAGGAAAAGGATATTCTTTCCTTTAAGATCCATGCATATGAACCAGTAACTCCATTTGCCACAAAATTTCAATATCCTAAAAGTGCACAGAATCCTTGAACTGTTTGTATAACACGAGATAAATACTTTCATGTGCTAAACAATTCTATTATTTACCTGCAGGACT